GCATGCACCAGTACAGGTTGGGGGATGACCTGCTGGAGGGGAGCTCTGCAGAGAGGGACCTGGGTGTCCTGGTGGATGACAGGTTGGCCATGAGCCAGCAGTATGCCCTTGTGGCCAAAAAGGCCAATGGCTTACTGGGGTGCATTAAAAAGAGCGTGGCCAGCAGGTCGAGGGAGGTGATCCTCCCCCTCTACTCTGCCCTGGTGAGGCCTCATCTGGAGTACTGCGTCCAGTTCTGGGCTCCCCAGTACAGAAAAGACAGGGATCTCTTGGAAAGAGTCCAGCGGAGGGCCACGAAGATGGTGAAGGGCCTGGAGCATCTCTCCTATGAGGAAAGGCTGAGTGAACTGGGTCTGTTCAGCCTTGAGAAAAGAAGACTGAGAGGGGACCTGATCCAGGTCTATAAATATCTAAGGTGTGGGGGGCAGAATGGTGAGGCCAGACTCTTTTCAGTGGTGAGTGGAGACAGGACAAGGGGAAACGGCCGGAAACTGCAGCATAGGAAGTTCCGCACAAATGTGCACAAGAACTTCTTTACAGTGAAGGTGACGGAGCACTGGAACAGGCTGCCCAGGGAGGTGGTGGAGTCTCCTTCTCTGGAGATGTTCAAGACCTGCCTGGATGCCGACCTGTGCGACCTGGTTTAGGGAACCTGCTTTGGCAGGGGGGTTGGACTCGATGATCTCTGGAGGTCCCTTCCAACCCCTACAATTCTGTAATTCTGTGATTCTGTGAACATGAAAGCCATTTGTCTATCTGTGAATACAACCATCCTAGAAGTTCATATCAAGCCAGGAAAAGATCTTATAGAATTTTGCAACAACCTGTACTGCTGAAAATGCCTCAGATTGGAGCAATATGAATGGTACTACCAATACCCCAAATCCCTAAGTATGAGAAGCAAGAAATCATTTGGTAAAGTTACACTGGATAAGCACCTGATAGATGTCATGTTTTTAATGCTTGCAATCAAATGTGACTGAGTGTACTTTCTTTCATTTTGTGTCATACGTGAGTCTTGAATGACCCACATGTGGACAGATGGACCTTGATTCCAGGATGACCCAGCAGGTTGAATGATGATATTGATAATCATAATAATGATAATGTGTTTTACCATGGTGCAAGTACAATCCCCTTTCATTTGTGTCCATAAGGGCCCAAAATGGCCACGGGCCTGTGAGGGGCAGATTGTGTTTTTGCAATGGAAGTTTTCAGTATTTTCCGTGAATAGCATAGGGTAAGAAACCTTTTACAAAGAAAACTCCTGAACATAGTCGAGACTGGGGCAGTTTGACCTAGAACTGGCACAGGCACTAGGGTAAAGGAGAGACAGAACAAGTGAAAATATTGTCTTCCTATCACTATAAAAAGTCCGGAACATACACTATAAAAAGTTTAGAACATATCCAAAGACAATGGGGTGGTAACAGACATTGTATGCAAGTGTAAATGTAGCTATGGAAGTGTAACCATAGCTATGGAAGTGTAACCATAGCTATGGATGTGTAACCATAGCTATAGAAGTGTAATTTAGTTATGGAAGTATAACATAGCTCTAGCATCAGAAGATTGTGAGCCTGAGATGCTCAACCATTGAGTGTCAGGAGAGGCTTTACCTGCGTTGGACTCAGGGTATATAACAGAATGGATTTCACTAATTGGTTCTGCAATTTCTACCTTGCCAACAGGGGGTGTGCGCCCAGTATTGCAATAATGAATAAAAGGCCCATCACAGGGATCTTTGCCTAGAAATTGTTGATCTTGAGCATGTTTCTCACAGCATAAGATAAGCTCGCTGCTGTTATGAAGATTTGTGTTGAAACTGTTTTTTGAGCCAATGGACTGTTAGTGGAAATGCCCTGAATAAATGTGTTAGGCAATAAAAACCTTGCATGAGAAAATAAAGGAGAATTTATGCACAAGAACCCTGTGTCGTGTTGCTAACCTGCAACAAGCAGCCCCTTGTCTTGTGATGGGAACAGTGAGACAAACTCTGACACAATGGTGCATATTGCCTATTCCTGCCTGCTACCTCACTGCCACTGGATGCCACTGTAGAGACAACAGGACTGCTGTCAATTCATCTGAGACCCGAGGGCTACCAGGACTGTAGAGGGACAATAGGAAAGCATGGAAATGGAAAGAGAGCAGCAATCAAAAAATCACATCTTGCCCTTGCCCATTGTCATGGCCCCAGGAAAGCAGCAGCCCTGACTTGAAGGCAGTGAGGAGAAGAATTACAGAGTCACAGAATCACAGAATCACAGAATGGCAAGGGTTGGAAGGGACCTCAAGGATCATGAATCTCCAACCTCCCTGCCACATGTAGGGCCACCAACCTCCCAATCTGATACTAGACCAGGCTGCCCAGGGCCCCATCCAATCTGGCCTTGAACACCTCCAGGGATGGAGCATCCACAACCTCTCTGGGCAGCCTGTTATAGCTCTGTTACACCACTCTCATAATAAAGAACTTCAGGTGCAGAAGCCCACTGAGTAGTGAGGGGCAGCTGCCAAGGAAATTTGGGCTGCTGCTCAACTTGGTAGATGGGCTCTTGGCCCCTGAATCCCTCCTGCATAAGGGGGTTTCTCCTCCAGCTCCAGAGGAGAAGGGAAGAAAAGTGAGCTGAGAGAAATGATTTTCTGCTGTCATCTTCATTGTGTTCATGCATATGGGAAGACGAGTTCTGTAGGCACATGAGATGACTGGGTCAAAATACATAATTCACTATAATAACATATTTAGAATAACTATATTTAAAAGAAAATGCAAGTTTTAGGATGCAATAAACACAACATTTAACAAAATGTTGTCCTAATATAGCCGGATTTCCCAAAGTTTCCTCAGGGCATCCCTGAGCTCCTGGTTCCTCACACCATAGATGAGAGGATTCACTGTGGGAAGTACCACGGAGTACAGAACTGGCACCACCAGGTCCAGGGATGGGGAAGGAATGTGGCTTCAGAGAGGCAAACAGGAGAGTGCTGACAAACAGACAGACATGTGAGGGAGGCACGTGGAAAAGGCTTTGTGCTGTCCCTGCTCAGAGGGCACCCTCAGCACGGCACTGAAGATCTGCATGTAGGACAGCACAATGAATACAAAACAACCAAAGATTAAACAAACACTAGATTAAACAAAGACTAAAATAAACAATACCAGCTTCCCTGAGGTAGTCTGATTCTGGGCAGGAGAGCTTGAGGATCTGGGAGATTTCACAGGAGAGCTGGTCCACAGTTCACAGGTCACAGTGAGAAGAAAAATCTCTGCAGAATGAAAGCATAATAAAAAAAAGACCTGTGCAGTGCATTCTGCATAGGAAATGGCCCTGGTGTCCCAGAGGACATTGGCCATGGCTTTGGGGACAGTGGTGGAGATGCAGCCGAGGTCGAGGAGGGCGAGGTTGAGGAGGAAGAAGTACATGGGGGTGTGCAGGCGGTGGTCGCAGGCTACGGCTGTGCTGATGAGGCCGTTGCCCAGGAGGGCATCCAGGCAGATGCCCAGCAAGAGCCAGAAGTGCAGGAACTGCAGCTGCCGCGTGTCTGCCAACACCAGGAGGAGGAACAGAGGTGCACAGAGGAGATTTTAGAAAAGATTTCAGAGGAGTCAATCCTGCTCTAAGCCTCTGGAGACATGGAAGTTTCCATCAGTACCTCTTAGATTTGAAGTGGGAAGTTTTCTGCACTTGGATCCCTGCTTTAAATTATTCAGATTCTGTCCAGTGGCTCTTTGGGAATATTACCATTTTATCACAATGAGACATGAAATTGACACAATGTCCATCATTGTGGGTAAGGAAAGATGGCATTCATCTCATCCTACTTTTCTATTCTTCAGAGATGGGTCCATAGTAAAAGAATCACTGAACTCATGCTCCCACGCTCAGCAAGGGAGAAAGAGATGCTCATGAGATCAGCACTGAACCAAACTTCAACACATTTTGTCATTTTGGTAGGGGAGAGCCTGACTTCAAATCAATTTGCAGAATGCTCTTTCTTCCAATCCTGTATGAGTAATAGGATGAAAAAGCTTTGCTGTATGCAGTCTCCCACTGATTAAAATAATCTTTACATCTTGCTTTCTATAAGATGAGAGAAAAAAAAGTTTCTATGAATTGGATTTAGATTTTCCCTTAAAGTTTGTGACTAAAAAATCTCCAGGTTTACTTTCCTGGCATAAGGACAGGTCAGCGCTCAGAGGTAAAGCCTTCTCACTGTCACTTAGAGAAGAGTCAAGCTGATCTGTCCATCGGGCTTGTTCCTACCTGCCCCATGCTGCCCCTTGCTCAGCTGGTGGATGGCTGCACCCACAGGTTGCTCCAGAGAAGAACCCAGGCTGTGCAGAGGGCCACTGTCCAACTGCTCTCTCTCAACCCAGCTCTGGGAGGAAGGAGGAAAGGGACATGGTGAGGCTTCTGATTCACATGACACTGAAAGGCTGCAATGAGGTCACCCCGCAGCCTTCTTTTCTCCAGGCTGAACAAGCCCAGCTCCCTCAGCCAGTCTTCATAGGAGAGGTGCTCCAGTCCCCTGATCAACTCTGTAGCTCCTCTGGACCCTCTCCAACAGCTCTCTGTCTTTCTTGTATTGGGGGCTCCAGACCTGGGCACAGTTCTGCAGATGGGGCCTCACAGAAGCTAGAGAGGGACAATCATCTCCCTGTCCCCTGCTGGCCACCCCTCTTCTCATGTAGCCCAGGATCCTATTTGCTTTCAGAGCTGTAAGAGCACACTGCTGGCTCATGTTAAGCTTCTCATCCATCAGGGCCCCCAGGTCCTTCTCTGCAGGGCTGCTCTCAAGCACCGCTCCTTCCAGTACTTACCCAGCATTCATCTTTTCTTTCTGCAAAACAGAAGCAAAGGAAACGCACGGTCAGAGGGAACATCTTCTCTTTCCATGGGTGCTCCCATTCCTACACCCCAAATCTTTTTGTTCAGGGAAATGGCCGATGACCACTTCGGTCCTAAAAATTTTATTTAACAAGCAATATTGGAATCTCAGGAAAAATCTCCCTTCCTCCTCCTGTGTACCTCCATGGACCAGAACTCAGCACCACCTCGACCATCCCTGTTGCTGCACAACACCTCCCTGCACTTCATCCCCTCCACTCTCAGCTCTCTTCGCTTTCTATAGAGAAAAACAATGACAACAGATGACACAACCAGAAGTGTGATGATCACAGCCAGAGCCACCTTCCAGGGATGCACAATTTGGGAAAAGAGATCTGGAAAAAAAATCAGGGAAAGTTGTTACTTTTCCATTCTCCTATGTGGAAAAGCAAGACATAGACTTGGGAGACAACAGAACCCAATGAAGCAGCAACCAGGGAGCAGTGCCATACAATGGCAGCATCCCCAACTTGGCACAGGTGGAGGAGCTGCTCAGCATCTTGTGGTGAGACATGGAGAAACCCATCGCAGAAACCCAACCCAACCACCTCATCCATGCAGATCCATCCCCAAATCAAACCATGTGCCCGCTCCAACTCCAGCATCTCATGGAGCAGTTCAGCCCCATCCTCTTTCAAAGGTTGCTGTCCTTCAGCTCTCCATCCATGGATACCCCAGCCATTGACCTGACACCTCCAGGTTCACCACAGCGTCCGCATAACCATCACCATCTTGCGCAGCGCAGATATATGAGCTGCTATCAGAGGAGCTCACTGCAGTGATGCGCAAATCCAGGTTTCCATCAGAGAGACAATTCCTGAGCGGTTCTGTCCTCCCTTTACATTCCACCATCTGTTGCAGGCACACTCCATTTTGGTAGGATGACAAGCCCAGAGGACCGGTGCTGGATCCATCTGATGTCTGATCTCTGAGCATCCTTGCAAGAGAACAACTGGTAGCGCAGCACAACATCCTGTCCTTCGTTGGCAGTGGCACGGAGGCTCGGTGCCACCACCCTGAGCTGGGCTGAGCAATGAGATGGTGAGATGGTGGCTGTGTTAATGTGGGGACCTGGAACGGCACAGGGTGAGTTGGTGTACGCCCCATCTCATCTAAAACCACTGGAGAAGGAGCAAGAGAGAGTGGGGAAGGATTCCTGGGGGTGGGAGCCCATTCACAACATGTGGAGGAGGTGAAGGGACAGAAATTCTACCCAAAATCACACATTTCATGAAAGAACTGAAGAGAAACTCAAGTGGGGCTGGGTGCTGGTCTTGGGTTCTCCCTGTCCCACGGCTGCTCCCCTGCCCCACAGAAACACCTCTGCCAGGCACAGCAGCCACACAGGACCCCTACCTGATTCCAGATGGAGGAGTTGCAGAGCCACAAGATAAACAAGGAGGCTCCTCCAGGGGAGGGTGAAACTGGGGTGGTTGCAGCCCAATAGGAAGAGCGTCTGTGGGAGAAGGGGAGGGGAGAAGGAGTTGGGGAAAGGTGAGAGAGGAAGGAGATGGAGATGGAGAAGATGGGGAAGAGGATTTGGAAAGAATATGTGGAAAAAGCTCGTGGTGAATATGAGGGCAGAAGCTGTAAGAGAAGAGAGCTCGAGCCGATCAGCTTTGCAGTGGAGTCTCACAATGAGGGATTGTTCTTAGAGGGTCCAATTCGCAGCCAAAACCTGCAGCAAAGCAACTCTATGAAGCTGAGGGGGAGCGATGCAGCCATCCCATCTGCCTCCCCCAGCAGCACAGTGGCTCTGATGAGGGTGGGTGGAAGGAGGAGAGCTGATATCCTCCATGCCTGCAAAGTGGGGCCCACAGAGCACAAATGTTGCGCTGTGCATCTTAAGGTCTCAGTGCTGCAGATAGTGCAGGGAGGGGTGCAGACAGGGGGTGAACATCTGCCCCTCAGTTGGACAAGCGAAGGCTGGGAAGTCTGACCCAGTAACGTGGGATGGCAGTGGGTTATGTCAAGCAGGAATTGCTTTATCACTGGGAGCATTGGGAGCTCAGGGAATCTCTGCATCCAAAGAGCAGCACGAGGGGAGCGATGGCTACAGGACTGTAGGCACAGTGTGTACATAGTGCATTTCTGAGACACTGGTTGCATGTTATCTGTATTAAAACGTGGGAGGGTCTCTGTGCCCCATCTGGTGGCTGTTGGATGAAGGCCGGCAGTCATCCTCACAAAGGCTCGGTGTGTTCCCCGCTGTGCACTTCTAACCTTTAAGGGGAGGTACCCAAATGGGCCTCTGCTGGTGTTGTGTGCAACCAAAGCGTCTGCTTTGCATCTTTACCCACATCCGTCCCACTTTCTTACTGTGACATGACAATGAGTTCTTGTGGCCTCACTCCGAGGGTGGTGACCTCTCTAGTTGCCCAGGGAGACTGTGGATACCCCATCCTTGGAGGTGTTTCAGGCCATAGGATGTGGCTCTGGGAAGCCTGGACTGGTGGTTGTGACCCTGCACATAGCAGGGGATTGGAACGATGTCATCTTTGAGGTGCTTTTCAACCCAGGCCCCACAGTGATTCTGTGATTCAATGGGAGGGGCCCAGAGGGTTACAGCCACCAGGGGAGGAGGTAATGGGGTCACTCCAACGTGGGGCAGTTGGCAATGGGGCAAACGGTTGTGGAATCCATAGCTGACTTTCCACTGGGGCTTGATGGGGCTCTGCATCTACCAGGAACGTGGACCCATAGGACATGAGAAAGCCATGAGCTGCACTGCATGAACACTTCTCCCAGTTTCTTCAACTTCCCATAGGTTACGGGGACCAGTAAAGCTGCCAGAGCATTTTCTGAGCGTGCAGGATTATGGCTTGGAGCAGCTGGCAGAGGTGAGTTTGTTCTGAGCTATGCCCAAAGTGTGATGGTTTCTTTGTTCAGTAGGGATTTTTTTAAGTAACTGACCATTAATGCAGAAATTAATGTTTGCCCTGTGACACCCCCACATCCCCTCTTCCCATGGTGGAGGGCTCTGGGAACCAGGAAGTGTTTTTGTGGAAGGTGGGCAATCACTCGGTGCACTCAGTGCATGGAAAATGGAATTATTCCTCTGATTAAGGAGAGCTGTAATAGGGGGGACTGAAATGGGGAGGTCTGTCCCCTGGGATGGAGGCACCCCAGATGCAGAAGTTCCCCTCTTCCAGCTGTGCTCCCACCGGCGACCCCCCAAAAGATACTTTGTGGAATTCAAACCCATGCCCGTGCTGGGACTGGAGCCTTAATCCAGTGCCTTAGACCGCTCAGCCACGCCACCTCACTTCTCCCTCTCTTTCCCACTGTGCTCAGACCCCATCAACCTCAAAGCCCACCAAACTCCACTGTCCCCCCCCAAAGGAATTCCACCATCCCAATCCCCATCATCCTCCATCCCAATGGAATTACACCATCACAAACCCCATTGCCCTCGACCCAATGGGGTCCCACCACCCCAAACACAATCATCCTCCACCACAGTGGGGTCCTATCATCCCAAACCCCATTGACATCCATTCCAGTTGAATACCACCACCCTAAATGTTGGTGGTAACCCATCATCCTGCACCACAACAGGGTCTCACCACCCCAAACCCCATCATACCCCACCCAATGGGGTCCCACCATCCCAAATCTCATCAATCCCCACCCACTAGAACCCCACCATCCCAACAGAGTCCCACAATCCCAATCTCCATCATCTTCCATCCCACAGAACCCCACCATCCCAATGGTGTCCCATCACCCCAATCCCCATCGCCCTCCAGCCAATGGAGTTGAACCCCCTAAGAAAAGACCAATCCTCATTGGATTTTGTTGGGAAAGCCATAAAACTGTGGGCCAGCAATGAGGACACAGCAGAGCTCTGTGGGGAGAGGGCTGTGAGCTCATCAGGGCTCCTGGTGTTGGTGCACGCGGGGGTGCTTCATGAGCATCATCCTAAACCCAATCAACCTCCATTGCAGTGGATCCCACTGACCCAAATCCCATCATAGTCCACTTAGTGGACTCAGTGGGCTCAGTGGAATTCTGCCATCCCAAATTTCATCATCCTCCATCCCAATGGAATCCCACCACCCCAAACACCATCATCCCCCAACCCAATGGGGTCCCACCACCCTAGACTCCATCATCCCCTACCCAGTGCAATCCCTCCATCCCAATGGAGTCCCATCACCCCAATCCCCATCGCCCTCCACCCAGTGGAGTCCAACCCCCCATGAAAAGACAAATCCTCATTGGGCTTGGTTGGGAAAGCCATAAAATTGTGGGCCAGCAACAGGACATGGCAGAGCTCTGTGGGAGGGGGCTGTGAGCCCCTCAGAGCCCCGTGGTGAGGGGGAACCAACCAACCCCATCATGGTGCTTGGCGCTGGTGCGTGCGGCGGTGCTTCATGAGTGACGAACTGGAGACAAAACGCTTGGTGCAGCTGCCACACGGGTACGGCTTCTCGCCGGTGTGGATGCGCTGGTGGATGATGAGCGTGGAGCTGGCGCGGAAGCTCTTCCCGCAGTATTGGCAGCTGTACGGCTTCTCCCCAGTGTGGATGCGGCGGTGCCGGCGCAGCGTGGCGGCTTCACGGAATGCCTTCCCACAGTCGCTGCAGGTGTGCGGCCGCGGCACCGTGTGGCTTTTCTGGTGAAGCAGCAGTGCGGAATGCAGCCGGAATGCAGCTCCGCACTGCAGGCAGTGATGGGGCATCACATCCTTGTGCTGCCGGTGCTGCTGTGCAGGTGTTGCACTGAGGGCTGAGCTCTGCCTGTATTTAGCATTTAGTTCTGGTGCATGATTGTGGTGCATGTGGAGCTGTGCCACGTAGGCTGTGTTTGCAGCACTGCTGGCATTGCTGCCTGGCAGCATGTGGCTCTTGCGGTGCTTGCTGAGCGATTTGTTGGCCATGAAGCGCTTCCCGCAGTCGGGGCAGCCATAGGGCCGCTCCCCGCTGTGGATGCGGCGGTGGGTGAGCAGCGTGGCTTTGGACGTCAGCTTCTTGCCACAGTCAGGGCAGGTAAAGAAGCCGTCCTCTGAGTGGCTCTTGCGGTGCTTGCCTAGTGACTTACTGGCCATGAAGCGCTTCCCGCAGTCGGGGCAGCCATAGGGCCGCTCCCCGGTGTGGATGCGGCGGTGGGTGATGAGCGCGGCATTGGAGGAGAGCTGCTTGCCGCAGTCAGCGCAGGGAAAGTAGCGGTGCCGGGCCTGGGGTCGGCAGTGCTTCTTCTGGTGGTCCTCCAGGGCGGAGCTGCACATCAGCACGCGGCCACAGCGGGTGCATGGGGACGGCTGCATGCGGCGGTGCAGGCGGCGGTGCCGTCGGAGCGATGCAGCATGGTGGAAGCTTTTCCCACACTGGGTGCAGGAGGTGCCAGTTCTTCTCCGTCCTGATGCAATGCTGCGGGGCTTGATTTTGGTCCCATCTTCGTCCTCATCTTCCTCGTCACCATCATCACCATCATCCTCCATGGATGCACCCTCTGTTGTTGTGGTTGTCCATCCATCATCAGCGTCTGTTGGGAATTGGGGAAGAAATGGGGAGCAGGGTGGGAATGGGGGGTGGGGATGGGGGGCGGAGGGGTGGGAACTGCAGGAAGGGGGTGAGAAGGATGGAAAGGGGATGGGAACTGCAGATATGGGATGGGGACCATGGGAAATGGATGGAGAGGATGGAAAGGGGGGTGGAAATAAGGAGTAAAGGGATGGAAACCATGGAAAGGAGATAGGAACCACAGATACAGGATGGGAAGGAGGGATGAAGGGATGGGAAGTACAGGGATGGGATGGGAACGATGGGAGCAGAATGGGAATTTTGGGGGAGTGGATGGGAATGAAGGACAAAGGGATGGAAACTGTGGAGAAGGGATGAGAAGGATGAAAAGAGGATGGGAACCATAGAAAGGGGATGGGAGCCACGGATTGGGGAAGAGAAGGAGAGGTGAAGGGATGGGAACTATGGGAAGGGGAAAGGAATCATGGAAAAGGGATGGGGTTCTGGTGGGACGTGGACACATCCCCATATGGGTTCTCATCGGTTCCCACACCCACTTTCCCCCATTACACCCATCCCCCATTTCAGTGCCCCCATACCTGAGCAGGAGGACCCAGAGGACATCTCCGTGTTGGGAAAGCTCCTCCACCTCCTCCTCCTCCGGACCCAAACCCACAGCAGCGGCCGCGTGGGCTCCTCATCCTCCGAGCTGAGCATGTCGGGCACCCACGGCTCCCCACTGCGCTCCTGTGGCCCTAAATGGGTGGGGGGCGATGGGTCAGGGCTGCTCTGAACCCACATCCCATCCCAGTGCTGCCAATGGAACCCATCAGTTTTGTCTCAGTCCCCCATATGGGGTTTGGGGTGATGGGATTCCATTGGGGTGGTGGGTTTGGGGTGGTGGGATTTCACTGAGTGGGGATAATGGGGCTTGGAGAAGTGGAGCTCTATTGGCTGGTGGGTTGGGTGGTGGGATCCCATTGGGTGATGGGTTTGGGTTGTAGGATCCCATTGGTTTTGGATCCCACTGGGTTGAGGATTCCTCATTGTTTCCCATTGGGATTTGGGGGTGTCCCATGGGGTAGTGTGGCCGAGCGGTCTAAGGCGCTGGATTAAGGCTCCAGTCCCTGCGGGGGCGTGGGTTCGAATCCCACCACTGCCAGAAAGCATCTTTTGGGGGTCCACGCCCCAGTGCCCCCCTCGCATTTGCTCCCATCTTTTTGCACCCCAAGACATGAGGGGATCCCTATGGGGAAATGGGGGCCCCAAATGGGACTGTGGGTTTGGAGAGGGGGGGGGAGGGTCAGTGGCCCCACCTGTGGGGGGAAGCTGTGGGTGGCTGCGGTGCCCCGGGAGAGGGTGGAGAGCAGTGGGGGTGGAAATGACAGTCACTTCCTGCAGTGCATCTGGGACCTGTGGGAAATGCAGGGTGGTGAAGGGGGGTGGAGGGAGATTGGAGGGAAATTGAGGAAATTTGGGGAAAACGGGAGCAAAATAGGGGGAAAATTGGGGTGAAATTGGGGACAATTTGAGGGAAATTGGGGAAATCAGAGGAAAAATGGGTGAAAACTGGGGCAAATGGGGAAATTTCAGGGAAATGTAGGAGAAAATTTGGGGGGAATGGGGAAATTGGGACAACATGGTGGGATGGGGAAAATCTGGGGGAAATGGGGGGAAATTGCAGAGTATTGGAAAAACTGGGGAAAAATGAGGGCAGATGGGGGAAATTTGGGAAAGATTGGGGGGCAATGGAGGAAAATGGAAAAATCAGAAATTAAAAAACATGGAATATGGAATCAAAATAAGCACAATTAAAATTAATTTGAAATCAAAATTAAGGGGAAATTAAAGAAAATAAATAATTAAAGATGAAACAAATTAAAAAATAAAGTCAGAATTTAAAAAATAAGAATTAATTAAAGGAATAAAACTGATATTTAAAAAAGAAAACCAACATTGAAAAAAATATGGAAATGAATTTTTTTAAAAATCAGTAACTAGAGAAAAAATCAAAAACTTGAAAAAAACGAAAATTTCAAAAAAACGAAGAAAATTGAAATTGAAAATAAAAAATATTGAAATAAAAAATGAAATCAAAATCTTAAAAAACTGAAATTAGGGGCAATCTAAACTGGGAAAAAATCGAAATTTTGAAAGAAAATAGAAATTTCCAAAAGTAATAGATTTTTTTTTGGAAAAAAATCAAAATTTTCAGAAACCGAAGTTTTCAAAAACAGAAGTTTTTATAAAAAATCAAATTTTGAAAATGAGTCAAAATTTGAAGAAATGGACTCAAAATTGAGGCAAAAATGTCAAATGGGGACGAAATGAAACGAAGAGAACAAAATGGAACTTCGGGAAGAACGAATGAAAATTTCGATCAAATGAAACA